TCTACACAACCACACATTATATTATTTATATTATACATTTCCGCTTTCGAAGTTCCTGATTATTAACTGCATCGTCGTTATTCTATCTAAATCTATCCTACTCTCGATAACTGCCAGCTTGTGCGCGTAATAATGATCGGAACACTGCGTATATAATTTGAAAATCGTTATTCGAATTTCATCACACGCTCGCTTTATTCGTTCATCATATACAACAATGAATCGTACAAAAAATAACGTTCATATCTACTATATAAATTGATACCCTTCGTGCGTATACATTATTTTTCCATTTTTGTTATTTGTTTGTGCTTATTGCTTATACATCGATACCTAACTAATTTTTTTATCGACAACAGTATGAAAATACTTATAGGTATAAATGGAAAACAATCTCGAAATTCTTGAGGCACCCATACGCACTTCTATCCGCCTGGTAGATTTTCGTGCAATTAATTTTGGTTTGTCACATTGTAAATTGTAAATGCCTTCGTTGTGTGGGTGCTTTTTCATTTTATCTACCGAGACACCAGTCGCGAACTGAATGTATTACGTTTACTAACAAATGAAATAAAATAAACAATTAGATTAATTTTGAGGAAAAATCGTTATAACGATCTGTATACAAATAATAATAATTGGAACATTCAAACAAAATAATACAATATTATATTCCGCTGTTTTTTGGTGGATGTCACTACTCCTATATTGCGAGTATATAAATGATACCTATTATATAATAACTATATTTTATATTATGTTTGCCTTCTAATCTAAAGCTGATGAATTTCGTTTGTATGTACAATATTGTACATATTCTTAAGTGTAAAATTGTTTATTTATTTTGTATACTGTWTAGAGTATAAACACTATAAACATAACATAATATTGTTGATCTGTTGTTTTAAGTAAAGTGTCAACAGCAAAACTTTTACAGAAAATTTACTTTAAATTATTCCACGTACACCTACATATATTTATAATCCGGTACCTATATAATTTGTTACGTATACCTATACGGTTACCACCATGTTTTAATTGTAAAAATTAATGGTATTTTATTTATGTGAAAATTTTCTTCTGAAGCTTAAGTCTTCTTTGAAGAATAGTAGTGACCAAGTGTTATAAGTATGTGTATGAAAAGTCAATATAGTTAAATTTGCAGTATCTAATACATGACTGCAAGGTTAAAGTAATTTAATTTTAGGCTTAGTTGAAAGAATTTGAATATTCTATCATACGAATTTAAAAAAAGCAATAATTTTATGTTAATTTAGGTATATTTTTAAAACATTGACTATGTACAAACATCATGATCTATAAAATCCAATATGCAATAATTGCAAATATGCTTTTGTAAAATATACCTATACTGTAGGTATAGATATTATACATATATAGTACTCGGCTTAAGTTAATATTATACAAATATCTAGTTGTTTAAACATMCTAACAATTTCATTAATAATTTTTAAATTTTAATCTATAGCCATGTTAAAAGTTTTACTCATTCTATACATTTGTCCTTTAAGTTTATTTAGGTACATACGTATAATGTTATCTAAAAGTCAATAATTTATTCTGCAGTAATTATGATTCAAAAAAAGTAGGTAACAAAATATAAGGTGAAATGTACCTATTTAGATATAGTAGTGTTTGTATCTAATATATAYACATGTATATATATGTATGTCCCTTTGTGTTATAAATATATTTATATAAATATAAATATGTAATACATTGGTCTATTGCCTTGTTACCACTTCGCCTTGCTGTCAGTTTTGTTATGGAATGTATGAACCCTCTCCCTGGCATAGGTATTATAGAATCTAGGTAATTTAACTGAATAAATATGGCTAGAAAAATAATGCATTAGGATTTGTGTTAAAAATATGAATAAACTTATGCAAATAAAAACAATATACATTAATTTAAACCTACTTTTAAGCAAATGTAAAACTTGTAAAACATATTTGGACAATATTAGACATTTTATTTGATTAATATACAATTAAAAATCCAGTTAATATATTTTTACTTCAACAAGAAATTGTAATTTAGCTTAATTTATTTATAAGCAATTTTTGTTTGTTTAGATACAAAATGTACTTAATATGTTGTTGTGTAGTCAATAATGTAATATATTGAATATGTTATTCATATCCAACAGTTTAATTCACAAATAAATTAAGATATGGATTAAACACATTTTATGTRATAACATCACGCAATTTTTTTTCTTTTGCAGACCCGATAAAGCATTACAAGACATCGTGTACAAATTAGTCCCAGGCYTATTTCATTCAGAAATGAAACGTAGACAAGAATTCTATCAAAAACATCCTCATAGAGGTAATATATTTTGATCTATAGCGAGGCGTTATACGTTTAATATTTTATTTTCTATTTTTCTTATAGACATGCATTTACAACCGGAATGTCGGGGTGTCAGCGTTGATCGAATCGTATATACAGCTGATGAATTAATCAGCCTGTCATTGGAATATTATGATAAGTAAGGGTTTTACAAATTAATGTTTAAATTAATTATGCATTTGAATATGATAAAGGTCATAAGGATAGGAATAAGGATAACATTGTACAGTTCTAAATGTGATTTAAATGATTTCAATAATTTATACGATCTCGNCTGTTATTAATAAAATGTCTAACGTGTATAAATACCATAAATATCATCAAACTGTTCATATAATATATACCTAACGAATAAATAGAAAACAAAAAAAAATTATAAGGGCTGAATTTAGTAAAAAACAAACATGCCTGTTGTAGTTTATTATTTATTTATATTAATATTATTATTTTTGTTTATTATATTATTATAGTTTAACCACATGTGTGATAGGTATATGTGTATAATATTTTGTATATATTGTTATTGTAGCTACGTGATAGGTGTACGTAAAATATTTTAATGTTTGAGCGAGTAACACGCTCATAACAACCCCCCACACACATACCTGTGTCGCTGTGATTTCACGGTTCGCGTAACGTGCGACAGTCGCCGCCGCTGGGCTTTTCTCGCGGGAAAAGTGTTACGGTACGGTGAACGGTGTCTGTGTGTGTGCTGGCGGCAGACGCGCATACGTATAAATATATATACGATTGTGGTGGTGGTGGACGGCCGCGGCGGTATACTATACGGCAAAGTCGAGTTTCCCTACCGCGCTGGCGGCACCCGTGTCAATGGCCTCTTTCTCTCTCGGCGGCGTTGCCGTAGTATTCGCCGCCAGTTTTCGTGTCGTAAAAAATTGGCAGATAATATAGTAAGCGTTATTCAATCATTTGAAATCGTCTTAGTCATTATACATATATGCATTATTATTATTATCAGTTTAAATAGTGAGATCGAGAGAGAGAGAAAGAGAAAGAGAAAGAGAAAGAGAGAGAGCTGCTGATTGGGAGAAACGGGGAAAAATAACAATAGATTTCATTTATGTCTATAATACATGCTTTGCTCATATAGTTTTGCGATCTATCGGTTTTCACGTTTATTCCGTTGCCTCATAATATAATTTTTTTCTTTGCAGACGTTGTCGGTTCTGGTTCGAAACATTTTTTTAAATTTTGCTAACATTTCATACTTCCTCTGGCTCTGCGTTTTAATCTGTTATATTTTATATTTCTGAAAATGTTTAACTTTTACAAGATAAACTTTTTGCTGYTAATTAATATTTTTATTACGTAAGATGTACATTTATTTTTAATTAATCTACACAACCACACATTATATTATTTATATTATACATTTCCGCTTTCGAAGTTCCTGATTATTAACTGCATCGTCGTTATTCTATCTAAATCTATCCTACTCTCGATAACTGCCAGCTTGTGCGCGTAATAATGATCGGAACACTGCGTATATAATTTGAAAATCGTTATTCGAATTTCATCACACGCTCGCTTTATTCGTTCATCATATACAACAATGAATCGTACAAAAAATAACGTTCATATCTACTATATAAATTGATACCCTTCGTGCGTATACATTATTTTTCCATTTTTGTTATTTGTTTGTGCTTATTGCTTATACATCGATACCTAACTAATTTTTTTATCGACAACAGTATGAAAATACTTATAGGTATAAATGGAAAACAATCTCGAAATTCTTGAGGCACCCATACGCACTTCTATCCGCCTGGTAGATTTTCGTGCAATTAATTTTGGTTTGTCACATTGTAAATTGTAAATGCCTTCGTTGTGTGGGTGCTTTTTCATTTTATCTACCGAGACACCAGTCGCGAACTGAATGTATTACGTTTACTAACAAATGAAATAAAATAAACAATTAGATTAATTTTGAGGAAAAATCGTTATAACGATCTGTATACAAATAATAATAATTGGAACATTCAAACAAAATAATACAATATTATATTCCGCTGTTTTTTGGTGGATGTCACTACTCCTATATTGCGAGTATATAAATGATACCTATTATATAATAACTATATTTTATATTATGTTTGCCTTCTAATCTAAAGCTGATGAATTTCGTTTGTATGTACAATATTGTACATATTCTTAAGTGTAAAATTGTTTATTTATTTTGTATACTGTTTAGAGTATAAACACTATAAACATAACATAATATTGTTGATCTGTTGTTTTAAGTAAAGTGTCAACAGCAAAACTTTTACAGAAATTAATGATACATTTTATAGGTTAGAATGTTAGATAATTAATGCAATAATCCACGTTTCGTTGTGTTAATATAGGTTTGTCTGTGGGCAATTTATGTCGATGCTGTAACTGTACTCACCCGTATCCTTATTCCTTACGTATATAATATTATATACATATATATATTTACTTTAAATTATTCCACGTACACCTACATATATTTATAATCCGGTACCTATATAATTTGTTACGTATACCTATACGGTTACCACCATGTTTTAATTGTAAAAATTAATGGTATTTTATTTATGTGAAAATTTTCTTCTGAAGCTTAAGTCTTCTTTGAAGAATAGTAGTGACCAAGTGTTATAAGTATGTGTATGAAAAGTCAATATAGTTAAATTTGCAGTATCTAATACATGACTGCAAGGTTAAAGTAATTTAATTTTAGGCTTAGTTGAAAGAATTTGAATATTCTATCATACGAATTTAAAAAAAGCAATAATTTTATGTTAATTTAGGTATATTTTTAAAACATTGACTATGTACAAACATCATGATCTATAAAATCCAATATGCAATAATTGCAAATATGCTTTTGTAAAATATACCTATACTGTAGGTATAGATATTATACATATATAGTACTCGGCTTAAGTTAATATTATACAAATATCTAGTTGTTTAAACATMCTAACAATTTCATTAATAATTTTTAAATTTTAATCTATAGCCATGTTAAAAGTTTTACTCATTCTATACATTTGTCCTTTAAGTTTATTTAGGTACATACGTATAATGTTATCTAAAAGTCAATAATTTATTCTGCAGTA